AGGTCCCTTCAGTCTGAGTTAAACCATTAAGTCTGGTCTTTTTACTAGAATTTGAGTTCTGTGCTCCACTTTTCTCCTGCTTCATCAGGGACTCTCTGTTGTGTTCCCTGTCAGGGCAGTCATTGTGGTAGCCAGGCACCATCTAGTTCTTCTGGTCTCAGGCTGATGAAGTCTCTGGTTTATGTGGCCCTGAAAGGTTGGCGATTTAAACCCGCCAGCTGCTCGTCAAGAGAAAGATAAGGCAGTCTGCTTCCGTAAACATTTACAGCCTTGGAAACCCTATAGGGCAGTTCTACTCTATCCTAAAGGGTTGCTATGAGTCGAAATTGATTTGACTGAAATGGGTTTGGTTTGGCTTATGTGTCATGCATTCTAATCTGCATATTAATAACATACGAAATTTCATTTAATCCTCATAGTAACCCTATGAAATAGGTATTATCACTATTGTCATTTTATAGACGGAAAAAAAATGAGATTTAAAAAGGTAAAGTAACTTGTCCAAAATTAGTTAGACAGCTGGTAAGTGAAACAGCAAGGATCCCAAGCTCAGGCAGCCTGACTCCTGGGTCCCAAGCTTGTAACCCCCATGCTCTTCACTACTCGACCATGACCACCCTCCTTCCAGTGGGATGATCACTATTCCACCACATCTAAGACTCACTTCTTCTCCTTTTTTCCTTTTCTGTAGCCTACACCACGCTGCAATGCCTGTCCATCACAGTGTCACTCACAGATCTTCTCCCTAAATGGGGAATTCAACAGCCAGAAGCAGCCTCATCCCCACCCAAATCCCTACTTGGTGCCTCTGAGCACAGAGTTGCTCCCCACAGCAGACAATGTTCAATGTCCAAGCAACAGGCTGAGAAGACTACGTCCCCTCCCTGGGGATTAATGTTGCTAACTCTCTCTTTTGTGTTGTCTCCTCCCTCTGTAGTTCACAGCCAACCTCTTCCTGAAGCAGATGTTGGAGAGGTACCAAAACAACAGCCCTCCGAACAATGATGACAGGTGGAAAAACAATGGAGTCACCAAAACCTGGGACAGGCTCATGCTTCAGGTAAAGCCTCATAGTCTTGGGGAGATGCCATTTTGTTTCTAAACCAGGTTCCAGGAGTGTATGGTTGGGAGTGAATTCCATATATGAAGACCACAGACTCCAGGGGGTTTTCCAGAAAGAGTCTTGTATAGGCAAATTCATCTATTCCTCTGTTTGTTGGCAAGGGAGAGCCTTCACATGACTAAAACCCCTAGATTTAGATTTTATTTCAAGTCATGATGTTGATTAGCTTCCATTTATAGGGATAATGGCACTGTAAAAAAAATTAGATTAATCACACATTCTGCCCCTTAGAACTCAGGTTTCATTTACATAAGAAGAAAAATGTTCCTCTCCTCCTTGCCCTCCACAGTGAATTCCTGTGACAATTGCTATCTGTTTTGCTTATTTGGTAACTTTCCACACCTCCTATGGGCTAGTCCAGCTAAGTACTCTGAGCTTCAACTTGATCTGATTGCCCACTTTTCTCTAACTGGCAATCATATGTTCTAAGTCCAAGTTTACTTCAAGTACCATCAAAAGTCTAAGTCTTTCAGAACATCCCTCATCACCTCCGTATCACCCTATGTATATAAATTGTTACCCGACATTTCCCTACATACCCTCTAATCTGCCCAACTTTCACACTGACCCCTGGTCCCCTCCCCATCCC